TCTCTCATACTTGGGACATATTATCAGGGGGGACCAGTCCCTGGAGAAGGATATCATGCTGGGTAAAGTGGAGGGTCAGTGAAAAGGGGAACATCCCCAATAAAATGGACTAGCAAAGTGTTAGCAGCAATGGACTCAAGTGTAGCAACGATTGTGAGGTTGGTACAGGACTAGACAGTGTTTCATTCTGTTGTGCAAAAAGTCACTATGAGTTAATACCAACTCGACAGCATCTGACAACAACAATTCAATCTGTAAGCTAAGAAAATAATTCGAGAAGCTGGATTATATGAAAAAGAAGATGACATCAAGATTGGAGGAAGACTCCTTAACAACGTGCGATATGCAGATAATAAACGACTTAAAATACTTACTGATGAAGATCAAAGACCACAGCCTACAGTATGGGTTGCATACTGTAAAAAACAAAAATCCTCACCACTGGACCAATAAATAACATCAAGATAAATGAAGAAGAGATTGAAGTTGTCAAAGACTTCATTTTGCTCACCTCAACCATCAACACTCACGGAGACAGTAGTCAAGAAATCAAAGGACGTATTACATTAGGAAAATCTGCTGCACAAGACCTCTTTAAAGTATTCAAGAGTAAAGACACCAGTTTGAGGACTAAGGTGAGCCTGACCCAAGCCATGGTATTTCCAATAATCTCTTATGAGTATGTGAAAGTTGGACAATGAATAAAGAAGACCATAGCAATACTGATGCATTTGAGTTACCATTTTGGAGAAGAATATTAAAAGTACCATGGACTGTCCAAAGAACAAACAAATCTGTGTTGGAAGAAGTACAACCCAAATGCTCTTTAGAAGCCAGGATGGCCAGACTTCATCTTTTATACTCAGTAGGAGGAACCAGTCCCTGGAGGACATCATGCTTGATTAAATAAAGGGCCAGAGAAAAAGAGGACGATTCCCCCCAACAAGATGGATTGGCACAACAGCATCAAAAAGGAGCTCGAGTATGGCAACAATTGTGAGGTGGGCGCAGGACCGGGCATAGTTTCGTTCTGCTGTGCACAGGGTCACTATGAATCAATATGATTCAACTGCATCTAACAACAAGCAAAAGGTGGTGCTGTAGGATAAGAACTTGACAGACAACCACGGGATCGATAGTTCAAACCCACCAGCTGCTCCTCTGAAAATCTATACAGGGCCACACTGAGTCAGAACTGACGCCACTGCACTTAACAATAACAACAAAGAATGCCAGTTAATACAACTATTGTTCAAATTTACACACGAACCACTAAAGCCAGTGATGATGAAATTGAAGAATTCTACCAACTTCTCTGGACTTCTGGTGTGGCATTGTAGGATTAGCACTGGACTGTAAAACCACAAGGTCAGCAGTTCAAACCCAACAGTTGCTCCTCTGAAAACCTATACAGGGTCTCTATGAGTCAGAACTGACTCGACAGCACTTAACAACAACCAATCTCTTCCATCTGAAATTGATCAAATATGCAATCAAGATGTATTGATAATTACTGGACTGGAATGCAAAGCTTGGAAACGGAGAGGATCAGTCCTTGGAAAATATGGCGTTGGTGATAGAAACGATGCTGGAAATTGCATGACAGATTTTACATGACCAATGACTTCTTCATTGCAAATACCTTTTTGAAACAACATAAAAGACAATTATGTACAAGGACCTCAACAGAAGGAATACACAGAAATCAAACTGACTATGTACGTGGAAAGAGACAGTGGAAAAGCTCCATATCATCAGCCAAAAGAAGACCAGGGGCACACTACAGAACAGACTATCAATTGCTCATATGGAAGCTTAGGCTTAAACTGAAGAAAATTAAAACAAGTAAGTCCATGAGAGCCAAAATATGACCTGGAACATATCCCACCCGAATACAGAGATCATTTCAAGACCAGATATGATGAATTAGACACTAATGACCGAAGACCAGAAGAGTTGTGGGATGACATCAAGAACATCATACAGGAAGAAAGCACAAGGTCATTAAGAAGACAAGATAAAAGGAAAAGGCCAAAATGAGTGTCAGAAGAGACTCTGAAACTTGCTCTCCAGCACAGAGATGCTAAAGCAAATGGAAGAAATGAGGAGGTAAAGGAGCTAAACAGAAAATTTCAGAGGGCAGCTTGAGAAGATAAAGTCAAATATTATAATGGAATGTACAAACACCTGAAGTTAGAAAACAAGAGAGAAGGACACGCTCAGCATTTCTCAAGCTGAGGGAACTGAAGAAAATATTAAAGCCTCAACTTGCAATACTGAAGGGTTCTGTAGGTAAAATATTGAATGATGCAGAAAGCATCAAAAGAAGATGAAAGGAATATACAGAGTCACTGTATCAAAAAGAAATGGTCAATGTTCAACCATTTCAAAAGGTAGCAGATGATCAAGAGCCAATGACACATGGTCTGGTAAAAGGAGATGGGGATAAGATTCTTAACATTCAATAGTGAATAACTGTTATCATGACTAACTGACACTGTCACAATTGTAAAGGTAGAAGTTTGGTAACAAAAACAGGGGAGTAGTTAATCTTACAGTCCACAAACAGAGGATCCTAGGACTATGAGGGAGAAAAGCACAAGCGGAATGCAGGCCCCTATCCAGAGAAACTCTGGTAGCGTAGTGGTTACAAATTGGGCTGCAAACCTCAAGGTCAGCAGTTCGAAACTACCAGCTGTTCCATGGGAGAAAGATAAGGCTTTCTGCTCCCGTAAAGATTTCCAGCCTCAGAAACCCTGAACAGGGTTGCTATGAGTCGGAATCGACTCCATGGCACATAACCAACCAATACCATCCAGAGAAGTAAAAGGAGATAGGGATAGGTCCCCTGTGGTACAACAGTGAATAATTGTTATCAGGACTGGCCTGCGAGTGTTGGAAATGTAAAGGTGGACCTTTTGTAG